GGAACCTCCATACTGTTTTCGCTAGTGGCTGCACCCATTTGCATTCCTGCTAACAGTGTAAAAGGGTTCCCATTTCTTCCTGTCCTTGCCAACACTTACCTTTTTTTTTTTTTTAAAGATTTTTATTTTACTTATTTGAGAGAGAGAGGTTGAGAGAGAGCACAAGAGGGGGGGTAGGGTCAGAGGAAGAAGCAGACTCCCTGCCGAGGAAGGAGCCCGATGCAGGACTCAATCCTGAGACTCCAGGATCATGACCTGAGCTGAAGGCAGTCGTTTAACCAACTGAGCCATCCAGGCGCCCAACACTTACCTTTTTGATAACAGCACAAATAGAGTGTTTGCTTTTCGTACGCATGGCTTGATACTATATATTCTTTTGGATCTTTCTTCTCTTCCTCCACGTTGTGATTCCTCCTTGTGTGTAAAGTTCATGGGTTTTCACTACTCAGTGTTGCACTGGTGAGTATCCTACAATCTCTCAAGCTGGTGTACTGCTGAGGGACATCTGAGTTCCAGTTTGGGGTTATCACAAACAGTGTTGCTGTGACTCCTCTTTGAAGCCTATCTGGGTGACCTCATGTTCCAATATATTGGCAATGTACCTGGTAGTAGGATTTCTGGGTCAAAGGCTATGGCTCTTTCCAACTTTAACAATTATCTTCAGCTCTTTTCCAAAGAGGCTGCACCAACTTATATTTCCACCATCAGCATATGGGAGTCCCTATTGCTTCATATCTGATACTCCATACTGACTTGAAAAAAATAATAAAACAGTCAAGAGATTAGATGGTAACAGTACAAAAATATATAAATGAGGGGCACCTGGGTGTCTCAGTCGGTTAAGCGGCCGACTCTTGATTTCGGCTCAGGTCATGATCTCAGGGTCGTGGGATCAAGCCCCGAGTCTGGCTCCATGCTCAGCAGGGATTTTCTCTCTCCATCTGCCCTCCCCCTCAAATAAATAAATCAATCTAAATCTTAAAAAAAAAAAAAAATATATATATATATATGGAAAGCAAAGGCCTCACCCCTTTTGCCCAAAGGTTACCAGTGTCAATAGTTTCTTAACTGTCTTTCCATAGGGGTGCTTGGGTGGTTCAGTTGGTTAGGTGTCTGCCTTCGGTTCAGGTAGTGAGCCCAGGGTCCTGGGATCAAGCCCTGCATCAGGCTCCCTTGCTCAGTGGGGAGTCTGCTTTTCCCTCTCCTCTGCCCCTGCTCACTCTCTCTTGTGCACACACTCTAATAAATAAATAAAATCTTAAAAATTAGTATCTTTCCTTAAAAATTTGCAGACATTATTTAAATAATATATGTAAGCTTTTTATTTTTATTTTATTTTTTATATGTAAGCTTTTAAAATGACAATTTATGGATACAATTTCTAGTCCAAAGAAAGAGTGGGGAAATTAAGGAGAATGAATCAAATAGTTGCTGCAGTCCAGTATGTTGCTGTAAACCTCTGTTGAGTCGATCACTGGTAAAATATTTCCTGAGCGCTTGTTACAGGTGAGGCACTCTTCTAGGGGCTTGGCATACAGCAATGAAAAGAGTAAAAAAAAAAAAAAAGAAAAAATCCTGCCCCCATGGAACAGGCATTCTGGTTGGGGGAGACACAATAAATAGATGAGTAAAATATATGTTAAGTGGCATTAAGGGTTAAGGGTTAAGGGGAAGGGCGCCTGGGTGGCTCGGTTGGTTAAGCGTCTGCCTTCGGCTCAGGTTGTGATCCCAGGGTCCTGGGATCTAGCCCCCAATCGGGCTCCCTGCTCAGCGGGAAGTCCGCTTCTCCCTCTCCCTCTGCTGTTCCCCTGCTTGTGCTCTCTATCACTCTCTCTGTGTCAAATAAATGAATAAAATCTTAAAAAAAAAAGAGTTAAGGGAAAAAGAAGTCAGGGAGAGAGTTAGGGATGCTGAGGAACAGCAGTTTTAGACAGGTGGCCAGGGAAGGCCTTGTTTATAGGTGATATTTTAGTAAAGACCCAAGGAAGTGAGGGCTGAGGCTCGGGGGTGTTTGAAGAAAGAGGGGTCGGGTGTAGTCAAGGACCATCTGAGGGGTCACAGAGGAGGGACTCAGTGAGCAAGGAGGAAAGCAGAGATGAAGCCATGTGGATGGAGGTGTGGGCAGATTCTCGAATGCCACGGGGAGACAGGGCACATTCTAGACTTACTTTGAATGCAGAGCTGGCAGGATTTGCTGGTGGGCTGGATGAGGGCTGGGAGAGAAACGAGTCACGGGTGACTGACTCCTCAGTTGTTAGCTTAAGCAACAGGAAGGAAGAAACTCCAACGGGGAAGACTGTGAGCAGCAATTTCGGGGGGAGCATGAGATGCCTACTACACAACTGGGGTGACGTGTGGCCCAGGCAAGAGGACACATGTGTCCAGAATTCAGGGGAGAGGTCTGGGCCTCCCCTGGGGCAGAACCAGCAGAGCAGGCTGAGCAAAATGGCCAGAAAAATAGCAGAGCGTGGCATCTTGAAAGGCAAGGAATAAGCGTTTCAAGAGAGATGACTTCTGACAACGGATTACTGGATTTAACAACTTGGAATTAGTGACCTTGATAAATTGAGCTGCAGAGGCAAAACCCAGATGGAACGGGTTCAAAAGAGAAAGGGGGGCGGGTAGAGGACGGAGGGTGTATATATAAACAGCTCTTCTGAGAAATTTTGCTGTAACACAGGGACAGAAATGGCCCAGCAACTTTGGGAGAAAGTAGGAAAAAAATCCCAAAGTGGGAAGGTGGGAGACTGTGAGAGACCAGTATAAATCCATCAGAGCTGTATAAAGACAATTCATGATGTTTTTGCTATGGGATTGCCCTTCCCCACCCCCACTGCTGACCTTGAACACTGGGCAAAGGCATAAACAACCGGCAATTACAGACAAGTGGTTAATCCCGGAGCACCGTTTTCTCTGCAGAACCAGGACACAGGCTCCCTTGGCTATTGGACGAGCTGTCACATGGAGAAGGTTGACATGCTGTCTTTGGCCAAAGCAGAGCCACACCCTTTCCCAAAGGTACAGATGTTGTTCCAGATCTTTCTGTTCCCCTTTGGGAAGGACTGGGCTATTTACTCCTGAAGCATTCACCCCATTCCCTGGTCTAGGAATTTGGTTCAGCATGTGGTCACAACCAGGCTTGTGTCCCCAGTTTGTCTCCCAATCAGATTTGGAGCCTTTTTTTTTTTTTTTTAAAGATTTATTTATTTATTTATTTGACAGAGAGAGACACAGCGAGAGGGGACACAAGCAGGGGGAGTGGGAGAGGGAGAAGCAGGCTTCCCGCAGAGCAGGGAGCCCGATGGGGGGGTTGATCCCAAGACCCTGGGATCATGACCTGAGCCAAAGGCAGACACTTAACGACTGAGCCACCCAGGCGCCCCAGATTTGGAGCTTTTTGAAGAACAAAAATGTATCCAACTTCATGGGAATGCTCCAACCTATACAAATAGGGCAGGGCTTCTGTAAATCCTTATTCCATTGCATTGACTGCGAGGGAAGAGCTGTTTTAGAGAAACCTAACATTTGAGCAGGAAAGGTGAGAACAAAGAGGAAGAAGGCCCTAATATTAATGTGGTAGGCCCCTTACATTCATTACCTCATTTCTCTTGTGGAAGGTCAGAAAGGTATTACTCCCAATGAACCGATGAGGAAACTGCCTTGCCTAAGGCTCCAAAGCTGGTTATTGCTCCCAGGGTCCCATCGTAAGAAATCCATCAACTTTGGGACCCATCCTGGGAAGAGGTGGTGGTTAACCAGGCTTGGTGACCCTTGATGCTTGCATCGATTTAGTTCACATTACAAAACAAAATTTCTAGTGCAATAATGTTAAATCATAGATGGGATCTGGGCAGCCTCCTTGGGTGTGGTAATGCAAGAGTGACCAGGATGAGGCTCGATTCCTTCAGAGCTATTTAGTTTAGAATAAATGGGTTTTCAAACTTCACTGAAGAGCTTGAGTTCTGTGGGTTTCGTTTGATTTTAAAAAATCTGACTACAGGGGCACCTGGGTGGCTCAGTTGTTAAGCAGCTGCCTTCGGCTCAGGTAACGATCCCAGGGTCTTGGGATGCGGGGCTCAGACTCCCTGCTCCGCGGGAAGCCTGCTTCTTCCTCTCCCACTCCCCTGCTTGTATTCTCTCTCTTGCTCTCTGTCAAAAAATAAAATCTTTTTAAAGATCTGACTACAAAAGCAATTTATGTTCATTTTAACAAATGGAAAAATTGGAAAAAGGCAAATCTCACACGGGGTAAAAAGCTCTCTGTAATTCTGGCATGTAGAAGCAATCACCTTTTTCCTCTTTGGTGTATTTTGGGCATATTTTGTGACCCCGACTTGACCTGGGCTCCATGACAGGGCATACGGTGTGCAATGTAACAGATCAGCATCTTTAGGGCTCCTACTGCAGCATGCACGCCCCCAAGCAAAATCTCTGCGCTCCCGGTAAGTCCTTCCGCAGGAACCCCGAGGCGGTTTGCAGCGGGCGGCAGATCCCCAGCCCAGCTCGGCGGCTGCATTAGAAACACTGCGTGGCGGCCGGCTCCGGGCTCCCGGTTCCGCGCACCCACGTGCCTCCCGGCACAACACACGGCAGCCCGATCGTAAATGCTCTTTTACGGGAAACCGCCTCCAATTTCCTGTCATGGCTGATTCGAGAAGGCGACACCCGGACGCGGACCCCCATAGGCCTCTCTGCCGCACGCGGGCCGCGGCCGCCTCGCGGGGCGCTGTGACCCGCAACCGCCGGGCGCGGGCGGCCGGAACGCCCCACACGAACACGCGCCGCGCGGGGCGAGGCTGATCCACGCGGCCGCCCCCCTCGGCACCGCCCAACAGCCGCCGAACCTTCTAGAAGCGGCTCCCCACCGCGCCCCGCCGTAGCCAGAACCGGACGCCGGGGGAGCCAGCCGCGGCTCGAAGGGCGGGGCGCGTAGGGGCGGGGCCGGCAAGGAGGCCGCGTTCGATTCGCCGCCGGCACTCAGGCCCCGCCCCACCAGCGCCATGGCCCCGCCTCCTCCCTCCCCCTCCATGGCGCCGCCCGGGCTCATTCATTCCGCGCCAGGCCTGCCAGACACCTGCGCTCTCCTTCAGCCGCTCGCCGCCGCCGCCGGCATGTCAGGCCCCGCCGCCGAGACCCCGTCCGCCATCCAGATCTGCCGGTAAGCGGGGCGCGCGGCGCGGCGGGCGGCCAGGACGCCGAGTCAGCGCCCGGGCCCGCCCCGGCCCGCCCAGGCCAGCGCCCCTCCGCGCCCTCCCCCAACCACCCCCGGCCCGGCCTCTCCAGCTCGCCGCTCGCCCGCCGCGGCCGGGATGCGCCTCGGACTCCGCAGCGCCGGCGGCCCCTGGCGCATCCCGGGGACGGCGCGGCGGCCACGCAGGCCGTTTGCTGGAGGAATCCGCGCGACGCCCTTCCGGGCGGGGTCGGTGCGCATCCCCCGCGCCGCGCCCCGCCCCGCCCGAGCGCTCCCGAGCCCCAGCCCGGCTCCATTTGAGCCCCCCTAATTCGAGGGCGTTCTTCGGGCGCTGTTGCATCGCCAACCCGATCCTCCGAGAGGTGGGGCGCAGATAACCAGCTCGCCCTGCGAGCCCTTGGGTGGGTACCCGAGTGGGCGGGGGCTGCAGAGGTACATTCCCTTCAGTGTACTGCCTCGGCTTTTGCGTAAAAACGATGTTAACTGGAAGAGCAGAAAATACCCTTCCCTGCTGAAGGGTTATTGCACCATTGAGCCTGGAAGTATTTTACACGATGGGGACACAGGGTTCATCCCACCACCTTCCTACCTTCCTCCATGGGCCCTGGGTAGACAGAAGCCGCCAGAGGAAGCTGGAGATCATGAGCTGGCTTATTTCCCACTGGAGCGCTGAGGGCAGCCTCAAGGTTACTCTTCATCCCTTTGGGCAGAATCAGAAGCAGGCACGCTGGTATTTGAGCATGAGCTGAGTAATGAGTAAGGGCAAGAAGTCTGGGAAGGCCGCACTAGGACTGGGGCCTGCAGCAGGGCTGTCCTGCCTGGTGCACCACTGAGAGTGAGCTGCTTCCTGGTATGGGGCTGGGCATCACACTGACCTTGGGTCCCAGCCAGGTTGGTTTCCCGTGGATGTTGACATCTCTCTGGAAAAGGCAATGGCTGGGTGTGTAACATAAGTGCGGGATCAATGGGGTGCCTTGACTCCATCTCACTTCTGACCGGGTCAGAAGCCTTTCCTGACCTCAAGGTCAGTTTTGAGTTTTCTAGGAAGAGGAGGTTTTTAAGGGGTACCTTGCTGTGTTCCCTTGTTGGCTGTGTGGTGGTCATGGCCCCACCAACTCCCGAGTTCCAGGGCAAAAATAATAGAAGCAACTGAGTTGGAAAAGGATGGGCCTGGAGTCAGGGCCTTGGATCAGGCTCTGCCTTGTATTGGCCAAGTGACCTTGGCATTCAGTGTTTGCAAAGGGCCTGTGTATCTCTCGTCTCATTCGGTTTGCCCAACTTCCCTGGGAGGGAGGATGGCAGGGGTCTCACCATTGTGAAGAGAGGAAGGAAATTGGAGGAGGAAATTGAGGCTCTAGGAGCCCCAATGTCTCTGTAAGGTCATCCAGCCACAAGAGCCTGAAGGCAGCCCCTGCCAGGTCATTTGTGTCCAGACCTGTGGATTTTCCACTGTACTCTCCCCCAAAAAAGAAGATACTGATTTCAATCTACGCATATATGTGTGTGTGCTTTTGGTCACCCTGGGTGTGTACCGTGCTGCCTCTGGCATATTCACAATTGCATATTATCTCTGAGTGGCCTTGGGACAGGTGGGCAGGATGCCTGGCTGAGGTGAGCATCTGGTGCCCAGCACTCCTGCCGAAGGGAGTCAGGGCGGGGCTGTGAAGAGGGCCGTGGTCATAAGGGCTTGGCCCAGAGAAACCCCAGGACACTGGAGAGTGGACATATCCGGGCAGGGAGCCCTTTAAGGACATCTGAGCTGATACCCCGTGTTGAAAGAGGAGCCTCTTGGCCTAGGACAGCCAAGCCCATGAATTTAACAAGTTTCACTGGCTTGTGAAGGAGCAGAGTGCCATAGAGGGACACTGACTGACATGGAAAATTTGGTCCCCACTTTCAGGGTGCTCACAGTCCAGCAGGGAAGGATGCCAGAACCTCCAGCATCCTAGATAATTAAGAGTGGTCACATGTTCTCGATTTGGAAGGAGGTGTTGAAGGGATGGGGCTCTAAAGGCTGGGGAAGGCAGTGGTTAGAACCAGCCCCGCAGTCCAACAAGGAAAAATGTAATCAGCTAACTAAACATTAGCATTAAACGAATTCAACCTCCACCCGTTTGGAAGCTGCCTGGCTTTCCAGTGTCCCATTCTCTCCTGGGTTGTTCCAAGTGTTAAAGAAAGTGTATCTAGTGCCTGGTGGAATGGAATGGCTGGCACCTTGTAAGTAAATAAAGCTCTTTTTGTCCAAAAAGTGGGACACAGGCTAGAGAGGCTGAGGGGCCTGTATTCGAATCATAGCTCTGCCTCTCGTAGGTGAGTGGTTTCCGGCATGTTCCTTAACCTGGATGGGCCTCAGCTCTCTTATTTGTGAATTGGAGGTGATAATGCCTACTTTAGTGATTAAAATCTTTGGCGCAGTGCTGGGCAGTTATAAAAGTGAGCTCACAAAGGGAATGTGAGCTCACAAAGAGAACAGTTTAACTTTGAGAACCTGAAGTTTGGATAGTCAGGCCACTGTGGGGTGCTGTCTCCTCCTCTTTTTGATCCAGCCCTATGACGCAGGTGCCGGGACAGCATTTAAAGTCTCAGAAGAGCATTTTTCCTTTGGTTATTTTGGTTTATTTCCTTTGGTTTAAGTAATGTTAATTAACGTTTAGTTAGCAAATTACATTTTTACTTGTTGGGTTCAGAGTTCCAGAATGTTAGACCTGAAAGGACCCTTAGAAGCCCTCCAGTCTAGCTCTGTCATGTTACAGAAGGGGGAAACGAGGGCCTCAGAGGTTAAGGTCTTGGTGAAGGGCAGACCTTGGACCTTGACCAGGAGCTGTGGATCATTCCCTGCCAGTGCCCCTGTTGCTGTGGTTTTTCCACTGCCTTTCAAGGTGAAGTTTATATTTGGTTGTGAGGCTTAATCATGGCATCAGTGTGGGCCCCTAGCAGAAGCCCCTGAGTGTTTGTTGAAATAAAGTTGAAGGACATGTCATGTAACAGGTTGTTGGAGAATAGGGCTTTGTGGAGCCCTGATGGAAATGCTCCATGTCTGCACTGTCCAATACGGTAGCCACTAGTCACTGGCCACTGAGTGCCTGAAATGTGGCCAGACATGGAGGAACTGGATTTTTTTTTTTTTTTAAGATTTTATTTATTTATTTGACAGAGAGAGAGACAGCGAGGGAGGGAACACAAGCAGGGGGAGTGGGAGAGGGAGAAGCAGGCTTCCCGCCGAGCAGGCAGCCTGATGCGGGGCTCAATCCCAGGACCCTGGGATCATGACCTGAGCTGAAGGCAGATGCTTAACGACTGAGCCACCCAGGCGCCCCGGAACTGGATTTTTAATTTAAATGTAAACATACATAGTCTCCTGTGACTGGTGGCTACATTATGGGACAGTGTAGTATTGTAGAGGGATAAGAAACTGGAATTTATGGCAGGCCTGGGAGAGGAAGGATTTCCTAAGGGTTTCAGAAGCTCCCTGGGGACTGCAGTTGGCTCTCAAACCACCTAGCTAATGGAGGCGGACTTTGCCCAGGGCAGATAATGTAGGAGTCATTTATTTGTAGGTAAGTGTGTGAGGTCTTCCATGGGGCTTTTTGTTTGCATGCTCTTAGATGCAAATCTGCTAGGAAATGTCTTGAGGTTAGGGATTGCTTTCTTCACTGCTGTGTGCTGAGAATGCCTGAGATATTGCCTGGCCTCCAGGAGATACAGCTTTTGGTAGATCTGGCATCTAGTAGCCAAAATGTTAGTGGAAGGGACCTAAATTCTAGTATGTTAATGGATTAGAATTTTTTCCCCTTGGGCTCTGTCTTTGGGTTTACAGTGGAATTAATAAAAACATCGAATCTGAGTTACAGAGACCATACCCTGAGCTAATGTTCTGGAACATTCTATAGAACGGTGCACAGTGCTGACTCCCTTCTTGCTAGGATAGGGAGGCCCTGGAAAAAGGCGCACTCATTGCAGCCCAGGGAGCCTCTGGTTGGGTAGGCTGTTGCTCACCCACTGTCCAGCCTCCCCCTGTAAGTGGGCCAGGCAGCTTGGCATCGCCTTGGACTTGGCACCACAGTCCACCAGCTCCCTGGTTTCAGTCAGGCCAGAAGTAGCTTTTTCCTTTTAACCTTAAAAATAAAGCTGCCAGTTATTTTACCAGCCAAAAAAAAGGGGGGGTTATTCAGGAATTGCAGGGCAAGGAGGCTTACAGCAAAACCATAGGCAAGCCTGGAGAACAAAGAGGAATGCTGTTTTATATCGGAGAGGGGGAAGTTCTGAAGGTGGTTATGAACAAAAAGTCTATTGGAGCAAACTGGGAGTTCAGAGTATAGTGGCTTCTCATTGGCCGAGGTGTGACAGACCCCCACTGACTGGGCTGTTGCCAGGGCAAGAGGAAAGCTTTCTTCCTCCTGCTGGGGTGGTACAGTAGGCGCTGAAGCGCTTGCAAGGAGCTGCCGCCTTTCCCGGCTGCCCGGCCGCTGACGCGAGCCGCAGGGTGTGAGAGCTCCCCCTGCCGGCCGCCTGACGCCACTCTAAACCAGGTCTTTGATTGACGTTCACAGCCCTGTGCTGGGGGCTTCTGCAGGCGGGGCCCAGCCCCGCTGACGACACTGTGTGCCTCCAGGTCCACGGGGACTCCCTGCCAGAGGTGTCCTGGGGAGTGGGATACATATGGTCACCCCCCCCGCCCCCACGGACCACCTACGTCCAAATAACTGAGGAAGCTTGTTACAAATGCACATTTTCTGCAGGCAAATTACAGTTAAGTAGAAAATCAACAAAATGCAGATTTTGAAACATTAATGAGACACTTGGGGGGAACTTGAATAGTCCTTTGAAACTTAAAAGACACTAAGGAATTTACAGTTTTTTAAAGATGCGATCATTGTAGTTCTGCTTTTTAAAAAAAAGACCTTATACGGTATGATGTACATACAATCAAATGCACCTATTTTAAGTGCACTGCTCACTGAATTTTA